CTTTGTTGTTGAGCCAGAAATTCATCCGAAAGGATGATGAGGCTGCGACCGAAGTGTATTTCAAGGCCACTGAGGCACATGTTGAAAAATCAGGGCTGAATAGCTTCAGGGTCATATTCAGATTCAGAGTGTTCCACCCAGACAGGCGCAGGATGTTCTGCGTGAGGTGAAGAGTCTCTTCAAAGATCAAGCCATTCTTCATGACACCACTGGCGCCTCACTGACGGCCATGACCTTGAAGAACTTGGCTAGTCTCGGTCATCTGACTTATCTACAATCTACAGGGTCGTTCAGAGGTTCCTTTTGCAATTCCTCAGGGTCAGGTCGAGGACCTTCGACCAATCACCGCCCAGATCCACGATCTGTTTCAAGCGTTCTTCGCCACGCACTTCCCCAACTATGAGGAGGTCAACGCCTTGGCGGCCCTTCGTGTGGGCGCAGTGCTGAGTTGGCCTCAACGCAGAGTCATGCTGGGAACCGTTGCCCTCACTGAGAACATGTCAGCAGATGAGCTCTGGTGCCATGGCAGGTATGGCTATGGATCATCACTTATTACATTTTATAATTTAATAAGAGGATCCAAGCTAGAAGTCCGCTAACATCACAACACCGATATTGTTTGTATCCCCACTCTAATGCACGGAATTTGATTGTATTGAAGATTCGTCTGCAAAGGAAGCAGCTGGTTGGGAAGGTGGACGGCGAAGGCCCAAGCATATGGGCCTGTTCGCCAGGGCCATGCACTTTCTGGAGAACCCGGCCAAGGCAGGGTCAGTGTCGAAGGGTGACTTGCAAAAGCGATTCGGCGAGACAACCGTCGCCTGGGCACAGACTCTGCAGAGCTTGGAAACACGCCAGCGATCTACCCGCCCGCTGGCGGTCAGGCTCATCCAAAAATCGCTCGCGATCCTCACCGGGACTCAAAACGTGGAACGCTTTCTCGGCGAAGTGCGGCTCATTCCTTGAGTCATCCTTGAAACTGAACATACAGACCTTTCAAGGACGCCGACTTGGAGGATGGTGCTCTCCGTGACAGCGTCAGCGCAGAAATACGCACAATATCGAGAGTCCAAGTATGCAACGCAAGCTTAACAAGCTTATCGCGAGTTCTTCGGTGATAGGCAGCTGGCGTCACGAGCTTTGGACCGTGCGGCTACCCGCTCTTGTGCTCAGCCGCCGCTGGGTCGTTTGCAGGAGCCCATTTCTGAGGGTCAGCGATCTTGGAGGGGGAGTGTCAAAAGCACACGAAGGCCTTCCAGGACATGGTCGCTAGAGATGGCCAGAGTCATCACAGTGACCTTGATTCGGTCGTCAATGCGCTCGCAGACGTGGCAGCAGCACGTACTTCCACAAAGCGAAGGCCTGAGTCAACTGTTGCTGAGCCTCAGTCTGAGGGTCAAAGCTCCAGCTCGAGGCTTTACTACATCAGCAGTCAACTTGTTTCTCTTGGTTTGAGTAGATCTTGCCGAGTGCTCCTCGAGATGAAACTATTAAGGAAAAGAACGCGCGCAAGGAAGTCTTGCAGCATGCTCAGAAGGTCCAGGAGAAACAGATTCAAATTGTCAAAGCCCTTCAGCCTGGAGAGGTTATTCCTTGCATGGACGGACAGGGGGGAGTGTATCGGCTGAAGCCACCGCCTGCTGCAGCCATCGACGCCCTGCCTGCACCAGTGTTGGGAAACTTGGTGAAGGTGTGGCCCGCAGATTCCAGTGTCAAAGTTCCCATTTGGCGTCGCTACGAAGTTGTTGCAGCTGCTTCCATGAGCGATCTGATCTTGGTGGCAGAGGGGGCTTTTGAATCTTCTTTATATGCCAGCCCCGGGCTCTTGGCTCGCCTTCACGGGTGCAGGCTGGCGGACATGCAATGGGCGAGGACGAAAGTGACCAAAGGACAGTGCATCAGCTTCGGCACAGCCCTGCAGAGTCATCTTTACCTCTACCTCAGTACCAGCTTCTGCAAGGCATTCCCTTTGGAATCCAAGGCCCTTCTAACTGCAGCGTCAGACTCAAGATCGTCGACTTCCGCACAGCCGCCAAGATCAAAGAAGGGCTTGCATTTTTTTTCTGACACGGCATTTCCAGAGTCACCCAAGCATCCGCGGTTGAGTTTTGAAGTGGTGTTGGAGGAAGAGGCAACCTCTCCTCACCACACGACACTCGTTGGGATGTTCGTGAAGCTCTCCAGTGTCAGGCGGCATTGAAAAAAGAGTGGCCCGCAGATGTGCAGCTCTGTCATGGGAAATCCTTTCCAAAAGTTAAACTTTCTGGGTCTAAGAAACAGCTCGGCAAGCCTAAGCCCCCAAACCCCATATAAACAAACCCCATATAAACCCCTAAACTTTAGCCCTAAACCCTATAAACTCCCAATACCCCAAAGGCGCCCCAGCATAAGGAACCCCCAGGTACGTATTACGTTATCCCCCAAGTCTTGGGGTTCTTATACTGTCCCCTAAGAATGGGCCCCCGGCCTTGATCGCAGGATGAGGCGGAAGGCATCCGGCGCTTTCTCGAGGAGACGGATGGCAGGCGCTATCAAAGCCACCATAATACACATACGATGATTTAAGAAATGGCAGACTACAGTAGAATGTATTTTGACGATACACTGTAGTAGACTAGAATGTATTATGTTGTAGTATAACAGGCTTTCACATGGGACCTGCGCTTCACCTAGAGTCTAGACCTTGCCAGCATTAGATGCCTGAAGCCGATACTGGTTGCTTAAAAGGTGAGTGCGAAGCCAAGCCCCAGAAACTCTCCTTGTGCTGCTTGGGCCAGCTGCAAGACTCTGAAGCAAGCTTTCGGCTTCTGTGAGACACTGTTGGATCAATGTGCATCCCATGGCAGGGAACAGCACTCGACAACCCGGCCGTCAAAGTTGTGAACCGGGATCTAAACTTCGAAGTCTGAGTATTGCTCAGACTTCATAGTAAGTGTTCCCAGGTACCCCAATGAGCTGCACTTAAACGGCCTACATCCTTCTCCATATATGTACATGTATGTATGCGCGGATGTATGTATGCATGTACACATCTATGTATGTATGCACATGAATGTCTAGATGTATATACATATATACACAAGCACGTGCATACTTACATACATACTTCGTGTGTGTATATATATATATATGTACGTATTTTTTTTGTGTGTGTGTGATTTCAAAAGCAAAATAAACACTGAGTTTCGATCCACAGCTCATCAAGTTGAGGCACGAGTAAAATTTTCGAGTCCAAGACCGTAGGACAAACAAGGCAAAACGAAAGAGGAACAAGGGAAGGACGAGTGGAACCGAGGACGAAACAATTGCAACTAGCACGAACAAGGGGGATGCTACACTGGAGTGTGCAATTGACAATCTCCTAAAACAAAAACGTCATCTACTAGAACCAAAGTTGGTGCTTCGCATCTAAACCATCCATGACAAGCCCTGTTCTTAGCTATTACATCTTACCAGGCTGTCCTACACAATGCGGCAACATACGTATATTCCTTCGTCTGCTACACAGTACTGATTTTTGCATACGGACACACGAGAACATGCATATTCATGTATGTATATATGTATGCACATCTACATCTGTGTGTAGGCTGCTAAATGCATATGTTATGTAGTCAAGCAGACAGAGACGGAGGGCCCCAAGGAAGAGAAGCGGGAAGCACGACGCTTCACGGCGAGCCTTCACCTTCGCCCCTCCCCCCAGCTCTCTTTGACACATTTCTGCTGCTTTGCCATCCGCATGGAGCCAATCCCGCAAATAGCGAAAGGACTATGCCACTGCTATCTTTTGTGAGAATTAAACAAACACATACGTACTTACATGCCTACGTGCATACCTACGTACATACATGCAGCAATACACACGTACATATACGCACAACTTACCTCCTGTCGTGCTGCCGTGGACAGGTGTCAGAATGGTGGTCAGCTTTTGGAGCTGCTGGAGGAACTAGGGTATGTTGACGCCAGTGACGCTATACTGGATGCCCTCCGCGAAGCTGGGGCAGCAGATTGCAGATTTCGGAGATGTTATCAAGAATGAACTGTGTTAATTTTGTTCGCACAAATACTCCCGATCAAACGCGTCAGATTCTTAGATGCAGGGTATGTTTAGATATTGGCAACTTCAACACTTTTGCTGGTCGCATTTACATGGGCAGTTTTATGCATCAGGATTCCGCTGGGATCCTTATCTAAGTGTGCCCAAGCTCCGTTGAAAGGAGCTTGAACTCGGCTTATGCACTTGGCCCCAAATCCTAAGCCGTCCTCTTGTCTTCTGAGGAGAGCAATGTCGACCTTGGCAAAAGGCGACTCCGCTGCAAGCTTGTGATTACAAGATGCTCTGATGAGTGATAAGAGACAAACATGTATGTGTGTTTTTCTACAATATAAGTGTATATCTATATATATATATATGTGTGTGTTCATGTAGACATGTCGCCTAGAGTCTGCCTTGAATTGATGGGGCATGCTCCGGCTGAAGCAAAAAGCCGCGAGGCGCCTGCCAGAAATCGTTGAACACACGACATGTTGCAATGCAGTATCGTACAATCGAGTATGGTATGACATGGTGGAATATACACAGTATAGTATAGTTATAGTTATAGTT